TTGGAGCAATCAAGAAGCATGACTTCCCACAGTCTAATTAGTCTGCTGGATAATATTTAATTCACTGGCCTAATCAAATGTGAGTGCAGTATCTACAGAGTGATATCACTGGAACAGTTCACCGCTGCTGCATCCACTTTGTTTCTCAAACTGAAAACTTCTTCAGGGACCAGACAGGATAGGGGTGGTCATGGTGACAGCAACACCTCCCAGGTTTGCTTCCAAGTTATACATCAACCCAACATGTGCCTTTACTGACATTCCTTCAATTACACTTGGTCAAAAATCCTGGCAGTTCTTTGCATGAGCAGCTTCATCAGGCTGCAGTGCTTTAAGATGGCCCCAAACATCACCTTTCGAGGACAACCAATAAGTGCTGACCTGCCAGTGATACATCCTAAGAGTGAAAGAAAAAAAATTGCATCTGGATCTAAAGATACCAAACACCACCTTTTGCAAATACATTAAACAGTACTTGTTCATTAAATAAAGCGCAGGGCCACTATTTATCTTTCAACCAACATCACAAAAACAGATTATCGAGTCATCACCGTACGGCTGTTTATGGAAGATTGGTGGATACAACTTGGTTGTGCTGTTCCTCCAAGTGTGACAAAAATTCATCAAGTGCTTAATCGACTGTGGTAACATGTTTTTAAGCATTCTGAGATCATGAAAGGCACCATATGAAAGTAATTTTTTTTTCTAATAATAGCACTTGCAACAACATCGAAGCCAACAACAAACCAGCACAGTATTTCAACTTTCATGCAGGGATTGCAGCTTTTGGATAACGCAGTTAATAAATTGCTCCACTTCAACGGTTTCAAAGTCCAGACATTATCACCACTAATCGTCGGATCTAAAATAACTCAACAGAAGACCAGATAAATACTTATTTCATATCTTCTGTTCTCAATCAATGTGATACAAATTATGTTTGTAAAACAACTTAGCACAGATAAATTCAGGTTCTTTTAAAAATTCCAACAGTGTGACACAAGCAAATGCGCAAATTCTTACAATATGATAATTGAGAGATGATTATATTTTAAGAGTGAATGAAGGTGGTCATGTGACCTGTTCTGCTGTCTGTCCGACAACAAGCTGGGTTAATCATTAGATGTTAAAAGAAGGCTAAGAGAGTTTTACTGAGAAGGAGCAGCAAGTTATTTACATCTGGAGACCGTGTCAGCAGGCTCATTGTGGACTTTCAGTCCCAAGTACCAAAAAGGCTTTGTTGCTAAGCGTTGCAAACAGTTATGCTGCCAGTTGTCAATATACTTCAAAGGATAAAGACAGTTGAGATTAAAAATGGTTAATTAGCATTTCTATCTAGATAGAAGGCTAATGTGTTTCACCTTGCCATGGAGAAAGACAGCGAGGAAGTCGTGAACTCAGACGTTTACAGCACAAGAGGCCTTTCGTCCCATCATGTTTGCGTCAATCGACCAAGAACTGAGTACAACAAACCCAACTTACCAGCCTTTGGCCCACAACCATAGAGGGTGTGGCAATGCAAGTCAATTTCCAAACGCTGCGTAAATATTACGAGAGTTTCTGATTCAATTTGCAAATTCTCCTAAAGCCCCTTGAGATGTTTTATAACGTTAAACACGTTCCATGGTGTTCCTGTTTTACAGCAGCCAATTTGTGCAAAATAAGATTCTTCAAACAGCAATCAGAGAAGTGACGGATTTTCTTTTACAGTGTTAGGACTTGTGTATCTGAGGAGTGTCAAATCGTGCTAAATATTGTGTAATCATGGGTGGCACAGTGGCTCAGTGGTTAGCACTGCTGCCTCACAGTGCCAGGGTCCGGGACTCAATTCCAGCCTGTGTGGAGTTTGCACATTCTCCCGTGTCTGCATAGTTTTTCTCTGCATGCTCCAGTTTCCTCCCACAGTACACTGATGTGTAGGTTAGGTGGATTGGCCATACTAAATTGGCCAGTTCCAGGGATGTCTAGGTTAGATGGATTAGCCACGGGAAATGTAGGGTTACAAGAATAGGGTGGAGGGGGGTGAGTATGGGTGAGATGCTCTTTGGAGAGCCGCTGTGGAATTCTGGGCCAAATGAGCTGTTTCCACACTATAGTGATTCTATGATCCACACTTTCAAACAAAGAGATCCAGAGTCCCACCACCTCTGGGTGGTTAAATTTCTCATTTCTCCTCTTAGCTTTGTACCTCTGAACACGACTTTATATTCCCTGATTATTAACTAGTCTACTGATGGAAAAAGCACCTTCCCAGCCACCTAATGTTCATCAATCTTACATACTTTGATCAGGTGTCCTCTTAATCTTTATTGCTCCAAGCCTATTCAACCTTTCCTCATAACTCAAACCCTCCAACCAAGGCAGCATCCTAATAAAGCTCCTTTGGACTCTCTGCAGTGCAATCACACCCTCCCTATAAATGTGAGCATCAGAACTGCACACAGAACTCCAGCTTTTGCCGAACCAGCATTTGATGCAGTTCCAGCACAATCTCCCTTCTCATGTATTCTATCCTCGGCAATAAAGGCAAGTATCCCACTGCCTTCTCAACCACTTTATCTGCCTGCCCTGCTACCTTTAGGGATTTGTGGATATACATACCAAGCTTCCTCTGATCTTCAGTACTTTCCACAGTCCTACCACACACACTGCAATTAATGCGCACTATGGGCATTTTTCTGGGTTGAACTCCATTTGTCACCGCTCTGCCCAACAGATCAATCCATTGATATCGTCATACAGTTTACTGCTATCTTCCTCACTATTTACTCACTTCTCATGTCCTGTCATCTGTGAACTTCTTCACCATATCCCCTTTAGTTAAGTCCATATCATTAAAGTACACCATAAGCTAGGGACCTAGCCTTGACAAACACCACTGGAAAAGAATTCTAGTCATGGATACATCCATCTACCAAAGTCCATGTAGACCACATAAAACGCACTACCCTCATCAGCTGTAAAACTTCAAGTACAACACAATGATGTCTTGCTGGAATTGTACAAGGCCTTGGATGAGACCACATCTGGGTAATTGTGTGCAATTTTGACCTCCTTATCTGAAGGCTATGGAGGTTCTGGCTATGGAGGCAGTGCAACAGAGATTTACCAGACACAATCCTGGGATGGCAGGACTGTAATATGAAGAGAGACTAGATCAGTTAGGACTATGATCACTTGAGAATGAGGGGGAGGCTCATAGAAACCTATAAAATTTTAACAGGACTAGACAGGAAGAGTGTTCAAATGACCAGGGAAGTCCAGAACCAAGGGTGAGTTTATAGATACAGGGTAGGCCATTTAAGACTGAGATTAGGAGAAATTTCTACACCCAGAAAGTGGTGAGCCTATGGAATTCACTACCACAGAAAGTAGTTGAGGCCAAAACATTGAGTGTTTTCAAAAATAAGTTAGACATGGTTCTTATGGTTAAAGGGGTGAAAGGGAATAGCAGCAAGCGGGAATAGGGATGGTCAGCCATAATCATATTGAACGGCCTACTCCTATTCTTATTTCCCATGTTCAACACCCTGTTAACCTCCTCAAAACAATTCAATCAAATTTGTTTGTGATCAAGTTACAGGCTTCCCTATTTGCCAGCCAATATCACAGATATGATTAGCAGAGGGAAAAGACCTCCTGACATTGCAAGCTACCAGAAATGAATACAGGAGAATGGCAGGCTCTAGATAAAATGACATATCATGCAGCATTCTATAGATTCCAGGAGATTCGTTCTGACATGATTGGAGTGATAAACAGATTTTGGAACAGGCTTTAGTGCTGGTGAAGGATTTAAGGAATTCTCTAAAAATGGAGGAGTGTGTGTCCTGGAGACAGTCACTCAAAGTTAAGTCTTGATAGAATGGTCACGTAGGAACCCATTGAAAGCTGGGAGCTACTGTGACAGTTACAGCATTGTAATTCCATGGAGAGCATGATGGTTGAGTAGTATAAAAGGGTAACGTTCCTTTCTGTACTTCAAAGTGTAGGTTGCATACAAAAGGAAATAATGTTTAATCAAGAATGCTTTTTAGGTATTTATTGCACAAAAGCTTTAAAATCCGAAACCTTGCCATGTCATTCACTTTTTTAAAGTTATCAGTATTCCTAATGGTCAAAACATCATACCTGTTTAGCGGCTTCAGATAAAACAGGTAAGACTGGAGCATTCTGACACTTAACCTGAATTTTTAAGATTGCACAAAATAAAACTATTGTTCATTCAATGTTTAAAATCATGATCTGGGATTTCAGATGCCATTTAAACCACAATGTGTTTCATTGCCTATGCATGTTCACAGGCAAAAATATTCTCCTTTGCGAATACATCATTTCAGCAAAGAACACCAGCTTGATCAGTCCAGTACAAGGGGTTACAGCCACTGGGTGAATCATTGACGGTGAATTGTTTGTGCTACAAACTGAAGTACAAAAATAAATGAGTTCCACTCCAAAGCTTGTATGATATGATATCAATTGCACAGTGTAACTCAATCGTGAAGTAATATATTTTACATCATTGAAGTTGCTTTGATGGTGTGACACAGCATAACTGCAGTCAAGCAGAGTTTTATAAATATGTTTTATAAATATTCTGAACTTAATTTATGAAAAACTTTATAAGACTGATGATGTGGAGGAATAGGATTTCAACATCAAAATAACACTGGTGTTTGACTGCCAATGCGAGGAAGTTTTTCCAAGGCACAAATGCCTCCTTCTGCCATTCAGTGAAGGAGCACAGAAGCAGGTCACATACATTCAGGGGCTCTGAATAGTAACTGAACTTTAATACAAGAACACTCTAGTAATTTTGCACAATTGGAAATGTGGCTTTTGTGCTGTGAAACAGCAGAAGCTGTTAAACAACTGTACACAAGCCATACATAGTAGAAACAAGACAATAAGCATTTCTGCATTATGTCACTGTGGCAAGATATCACAAGACACAGATTTCAATTTGTGATCCCTTAAATGACAAGCAAGGCAATAACAAATTGTGTTTAAAGTTTATTTTATACAGTCCTTCATGGGTTGCCTCCTTAAAGCTTCAAACAAACAATCTACAATTCTTTCCAATGCCTCCCCAGTCAAGTTCCAGAATGTAACCCTTGAAATATTGAGCATCATTTGCAGCCCACACAGCTTAACTTAAAGTTATATTTAACAATAGTTATGCCATGAAAACTGGTATAGGAGCACAGTTAAGGGAATCACAGAATAATATTCAATTCACCTTTACTGTAAGAACTAAAAATGTAAGACTTATTACAGCTGCATTTAGGTACAGACCAATGTTAATTGTCTGTCACATTCTGGTCCAGGAAGAAAGATGACATCAATCCTAGCAACCTAGGTTACTTAAATAGAATTTCTTTTAAATCTGTCTCGATGATCATCTATTATTGTATTTTTATGTTTACATATTATCCCATACATCATAAATACAATTGCAGTTTTGGAATCTGTTGCAAGAACAAAATATAAGTTGTCTGATTCAGACAGCCAGTTCAACAAAAAGAAATGAAAATTCTTTTGTTTCAAATTGATACCAAATCATGACTTGGATTACCCATCAGTTTCTTTCGTTTCATCACTAAATGTGGTCATTTAACCCTCGATATCTTGCTGTTAGTCCAGTTTTCACTCAATCATCATCCGCAACCACCTCCCGATCGACTCTGGTGTTCTCGTACAGGAACAGGAGTCGATCGACCTCTGCCGGGGCCAGCTGGTTTCGCTTGGCATTCACCAGATTCCCTGCTGCACTGAACAGGCGCTCAGAGGGGAGGCTGGTAGCTGGAATGCACCAGTATTTCTGCAGCAGTTTGCTCAAGGTTGGAAATAAAGCCACACGGTCAGACCACCAGATAAGCGGATCTTCATTCAGTTCCAACACCTTCTGTGATTTGAAGTTGTTCAGCTCTTCCACAACCTGGGCACGCCACCCATCTTGGCCCTCATCTCTGCTGCCCGCCTGCCCGAAGATCTCTGCCAACATGAAGTTGATGCTCCCAGTGCTGTAGGGCTGCACTGATACTGTTCGTTTTTTCAGGGGAGGCTCTTCAAGGGCAAAGCCTCCCTCTGCTCTTGCAAAGCTCTCACTGCCCTTCTCCAAGAGGGCAGTAGCTTCCTCCAAGACCTTGCTCTCAACCTGTTTCTGTTGTGCAGCTGAAAGGAATGGAACTTTCTTGTACCTTGGATCGAGAAATGTCGCGGAGTGGAGAAACAGTTCCAGCTCTTGGGACAACCCATATGCTTCAGACAACTCTTTGGCAATGGTCTCCTTCACAGCACTGAGCACATGAGAGTCCGAATCATCAACTTTCAGCGTTGAATTCAAGAGGACGTGCAGCAGAGGTTTGACCATGCTAATGATTGGGTACTTTGACTTGCCCATCATCTCAGTAGCCTGTTGAAATGGCTGCAGTAACTCCACCAACCCATCTATGGTGTTCCATTCACCGGCTTCCAGCATCAATTGGTAATTCATGTTGTCCTCAAAAAGCACAGCAGCAATTGCTGTTTGCTGCTCCCTCAGCCGCTGTAACATAGAGAGGGTGGTTGCCCAAGTACTACAGTCATTGACCAGTTGATGTTGTAACAAATACTGTTGCTTTTGCTTCTCACACAGCATGTACGCTGCTCTTGGTGTCACTTTAAAGTACTCGGCCAGTTTATCGCACTTCAGAAGAAGGATGCAGAGTTTAGGGAGTTGGAGTGCTCGGTTTATTGCCAGGTTGATTGCGTGACCAAAACATGGCATGTGCACAGGGAGATTCAGAAGGGAGCAAGCATTCACTACATTTTCACTGTCGCTACTGGTAGTAGCGCCCAACACATTTTTGCTGATTCCCCATTCTCTGAAGGACTCAACAAGCGCATGGGCCAAGTTCTCCGTGGTATACTCATCCACCACTTCGAACGTGGCTAGACACTTGGAAGTGAACTTTAGGGTGTTGGTGCCACTGCCCAAGCCACCTAAGAAGTGAGCAGTCAAAGACATGTAGTATCGGTTTCGAGCCTGCACAGTCCAGAGATCAGCAGTCAACCCACACCACACTGCCGCAGCCAACTCCTTCTCCACAGCGGTCCGGACAGTGTGGTACCGCTCTGGGATAGCTTTGGTAGAGAAATACTTCCTGTTAGGGAGCTCGTACCTTGGGTCAGCCATTTTAAGCAGCTTCTTGAAAGTTTGCTCTTCTACCACAGACACAGGATACAGGCCTTCGCAGATGAAGTTGGTAACCATCAAGGTCAATTCTTGGTGCCGTTTGCTATCTTGGCTGTAGTAGCTCTTGAAGATTGGATCTTGGTGGGTCAGGTACGTGCTTTCAGATTCAGATTTCAAAACATTGGAGGTGAACGGCTCCCTAGCTTGCTCAGCGTTGCTCTTTACAACTTGGTGGAATTCACTGGGATGATTCTTTTCAAGGTGGTAGGCAAGGTTGGAGGTGTTTCCTGAATAAGCAATTTGAGCCCTACAAACTCTGCAATAGATCTTCTTCCACTGCAGTATGCATCCTTCAGCATCAGTATCAAAGCCAAAATACTTCCAAACTTTACTTTTTGCTCTCGGGTGGCAGACCAGCTTTAGGTCAGAGTTAGAACCTTCTGGGGTTTTGTGCTCCATGGTTCCTCAGTCGTAATTCTACACACTGGGCCTTCATCCATTTATTGTTAACCTAATAATCAAACAGAAGAGACAACATGGCATTCAATTTTTTTTTGTTATGAAAAAGAACACGTCATTTCAAGGATTTATAGACTGTGGTTGAACAGGAAATAACTTACCTGATCAATTCTTAAGTAAAAGGAAATGACAATACCGCAAAATACAAAGGTAGGGAACTCAAAAGGACAACTTGTGAGCTGACATGTTGATAGGCAAACAGAATTTGCCAAGCAATCATGCTGGCTGATGGGTTAAGACAGGCACACAATGCAAAAGCCTGAAATGTTTAACATCTGGGCAGGATTGTATCCTGTTTATACACCGGTAATTATTATCCTTGCCAACAGCAAGATGCCAAGACTGTCACTGAAGATCTTCACAGTCAAAGTCTTTGCATTTACAAAAGAGAAATGAATGCCTTCAATCCAATAACCACTCAAAATGAACAATTATTTCTGTTCAAACTTTTAACTCCTGTTCAAAAAGACCAATTGCGTTTGAAAAACTTCTGACTTTCTTGGTCTGCATTCACACAAGAACAGCATTTGCTTGCACATAAGCAGAGTGGCTGTGGCCAATATGAACACATTATCTTCAAAAGAAAAAAGTGAAAATCCAGAGGGAATAGTTGGTATTATTGACTCTTTTCTCCCAAAAGCAGATCTCCTTTTTTGAGGAGTAGCTACATTCTCAGACAATTCAAACAGCGAGTAAATTCAGTCATCTTGCACAGCCTAATGAAACTGTTGCATACTCACTACCTTGTGGAAGTAACTTCACAAGACTGAGCAAAGCAGCACACTCATAAGAAAAATATGCTAACCACAACTTACAAAACAAAGAGTTGTTTAAATGTAGAGCTGGCTGTATAAATACAGCCCGGCAATATAATAAGATGATTTCCCCATTAACAGAAGCTACAGTCAGGATCGCAGTTCTACAATGCAAAATGCGGCTTTGGTAAAGCCAGCTTCCTAAGTATGAGCTTGCTAAATGTGCTGATCAGCAAAGACGAACCAATAGCATGCCATACAGTTAATACCATAATAAATTAAGTGTTTTTGCAGAATTATACTTAGAGGTTACGGTGTGGAAACAGGCTTTCCAACCAACTAACGTGAGCTGCTGTTTTCACTCTACAGTACCATAGCCTTTCAACATATTTTACTTTTCCTTTTTCTTTTTTCTCTATTGTCGTTGGCTCGTGTAATTTTGAAAGCATCTAAACTACAAGTACAAATAAAATACTATGAATGCTGGAAACTTGAATAAAAACAGAAAAGTCTGACAAAAGGTCACTGACCTGAAATATTAATTGTTTATTTCTCCATTGATGCTGACAGACCTGCTGAGATACTTCCAGTACTTATGCCTTAACTATTCCATGTGGTGACACGTCTCACACTCCTAACAACTCTTGGGAGTTTATCCTTTAGGTTGTGCTTAAAAAAAAACCTTTCCACTTCTGGATTAAACAGCCATTGCAACATAATTTCCCAGTATCCACTTACTCATACTAAGTGTGTGTTTCAGAACTCAAGATCATCAATGGCCTGGTGGAAACTGTTAGGAAATGCTGCTAAGTCAAACTGTCCAAGAAAGCCGCATCACCACATGTGTAGAAGACTGTTAATGCATTCTGGATAATTAAGTGTCTCAACAGCTATTAAGTCTGCTCTTTGACAACAATCTGTCAGGGTTCCCAGTTCATTGCAAGCAGTTTATTTGGAGGAAAAAAAATCTGAAGCAAACCAGTTTGCACGTTTTTCAGCTCAATCCTCTGATGGTTCAGGTATACACAGCAGATGGATTCTAAGTTCATTCTCAGGACCGACCAATCTCATTGAGGGTGTGACATGAGGTCCAATCAATGTCCCTGGGACTAACTAGGGTGAAGGGACAATTCAGCCAATTTCCTTTTCAATTATGATACAATGACCTGTGTTGGAAACATTCACATAGGACAAAATTAAGCTTGGTTGTCATACATTCCTTGTGAGAATAAACCTATCAATATTTACTGATCCAGCTGAGGCGTGAAGGACAGGCAATCTTGTAAAAAGGTAACCCAGAAGTCAGCATGTTCAGGAGGTGAAGGAAAATCAGAGTGTACAGGAAACAGTAGGATGTTACTTAGCATCTCGAGTTTTTCTGGTTACTCCACTTTTACAGTTGACTGTGATCTAACTCTAATATATAAGTGTTTGTTCCCTAACTCGTTACACCAACCTCAGACTTAAAGATCAACTGGGAGTCCAAGGGTATGGGGTAGCCAGGAAAGTAGAGTTGAGGCCACAACTGGATCAGCCACGATCTTATCAAAAGGCAAAGCAACCGAGGGACTAAATGACCTACGCCTACCCATAATTTGTGTAATCCCTCCTGGACTGCAGGTATCATTCTGGTAAATACATGGTGCACTTCCTCCAACCCAAATGCAGGTAGTACGCTTACAGTACTCCAGATTTGCTCTAACTAGGTTGTATATGGCTGAACCACGACTTCTACCTCCTTGCATGCCAATCCACTAGATATAAATTCCATTAGCCTTTTAGATTACTTTTCATACCCATCCATGGCAAAGAACAAAAAAGTTAAAAAGAATTGCTCACTGGTAATTCATGGTGACCATGAAAATGTGTCCCTGGTGCTAAGAATTTCTACTTTCACATTAAACAGAGTTATGACTTTCTGGCTTTCCAATCCATTCAGTAAATCTTGATGCTTTTGCTTAATGCATTTAGCAAATTGATGGACCAGAAATGTAATTTTTCATTTCAATTTTAACAGTCCACACACCATTTAACATCAGGTTAGCTGCAGATTATTACATTGCTGACCCTTGAATAACACACAAAATCGGCTTATTGTCATTGGTCTGCACAAAATATTAAAAGTAAGGACAAATACTCAACTCTAAGATTGTATTCCACTGCAAAGTTCTTTCTGAAAGGGATCATTGGGAGCGATACTTGGAAAGGTGTTTTGTCAACTTTTCATCATGAAAATCATTATAGTCTCAATCATAAAAAATTCCCTGTTAATAAAAGGAGCCGTGCAAAAGTACACATTGCAACATATCACAATACATTCCGTGTTGTCACTGGAGGAGCAGGCTAGAATCCTCAATAACATATTAATTTACCCTTTGCATCTACTTTAACAGTCATTAATCTGCTTAAAACAGATAATTGAGTTAAAATAACAAGAAGCAATTTTGCACAGCCACATTAATCACGGTGATACCAGTGGACATTACATACTAAATTTTATTTAATACCAGTCAAATTCTCATGGTGATCCACAAACGGAGTCAAGGCCAAGAGCCATGTTCAGTTGAAGTGTGATTAGCTGTCAAAGAATGATACAACCATGACAGAAGGAAGCAAGTCAATCCCATTTGTTTCCAAAATAATTCATTTCATCTTCAGTAGTTCAACTGGCTGGATGGCTGGTTTGCAATGCAACAGCTGAGATTACCATGAAGGACTCTACTTCTCAACATCTCCCCTCACCTGAGGTATAGTGACCCCCAGGTTAAACCAGCACCAGTTGTGTCTCTAATGAGAGTGCAGCCCTATGGTCCACTGGCATTGTGGTGCCTATAACTTTTACTCTTACTTAAATAATGCTTTGATTAACTATAGCTAAATGGAAATGCATAAAAAAGTCTAAGAGGCAGAGAAGTACAGATGCTTGGAGAATATGAAAATGAGAAAATATACAACTGAACTAGAACCAAATTAATGGAAGGGTGAAAGTATAACACAAGTGTCAACAGGAGACTTCAATTATATGTGTGGACATAGCAATTCAGAATAAAAACACTTAAAACAAAAGTATTAGATTAAAAGTAGAGGATTGTGATCAAGCAAAAGAGGTAAGGTTTTTAAATGATTTATAGAAAAATAGTCATACAAGTCAAGGTGAAGTTGCCACAGCCCTAGTGCACCACAGGGTTACTCTCCTATTAGAATGAGATGACAGGTGGCAGCTAAACCTGAGGGTCAGTATGCCTCATGCAGAGGGAAGAGGTTGAGAAGCAGAGTTCTTCATGGTAACCTCAGTTGATGCAGGAATTGAACCGATGCTGTTTGCATCATTCTGCATTGCAAAGCAGCCATCCAGTGAACTGAACAAACCAAGCGAGACACATGGTAAAATACAGAAATAGTGATACTGAACCCAATACATTGGGTAGAATATTCTTAATTCAGTTCAAATTTGTTTGATTTGACCAATAGTGAGATCAGCCACCAGAATGCTTCACCCAAGTATTATATAGTTCAAAAGACAAAATCTATCAATTAAAAAGCCATTCTTCAGCAGTAGTTTACGGTTTAAGCAAAATACAGTGCAAACAGACTTTCAGAAATTAACTGAAGTTCTCCTATCAAAGTGGATGTGTCATAGTGAGGGAACTGCATGCTGGGCAACATATAGAGAAAAACTGAGCAAGATTAAATGCAAAAACACATTCACTACAGAAACAATTCATTTTTAATCACCGAAAATAGTCTTCATCACACCATGAACCTTTTCTATAAGTTTGTTGGAGCCATTTTTGCAACAACATTTAAGATGCTGACTATGCTGCCTGTCATCAGAGATTTGCATTTGATTTCATGACACCACAGCACAGTGAACAAGTTTGAACAGGCAAAAGGTTATTCGGCCTCAGGCCTCTTCCACAGATATATATCTTACATGCAAGTACAGCACAAAAACAGACTATAAATGATGCTCTGCGACAGGGGTCTCCTTCCACTATTCGACTTGATAATCTTTTCACCATTCTGTTACCCTACCTCATCAAATCTGAAAAATTAAAGCCCCCACAAAAACACAAGCAGTGCTTTCAATATTCCCACGACCTCTATTGATTTGTTTACAGATATCTATTTAGCTTCTTCAGGATTGTGAAATTATCACAACTTATTGCTCATTTCATGAAATGGTGGCAGCACAATAGCACTCCCATTCAGGGCATACCAATGGTTCCCTGTACAT